AGAACACTTTCTGTCGCAGTTTATAAAAAACAATTTCGAGCATTTCATTTCTTTTAAGGGTCATCTCAAAATTATAAACTGACAGAAACTTTCTTCTGGAAAATTGTAGAAGGGTTGAGGCGGTTGAGGCATGACCTAGTTAAAATGCCATTACTTTATTTCAGATAAATATTCTTTCATTCCTATGACCCCACGCAAGTACAACACGTACACTTGTTTCCTTCGACTAATTAATTATGCGATACGATCAGGCTGTGAGGCTGTTGCATGGTCTTATATTAAGTCTAGAGAACGATGAACATTCTAGTCATTTCCGAGACAGCATAAAACTCCCGTTTCGGCTATTGTATTATATGCTTGTCATAGAAAACTGACACTTGTGCTACTATAGCTGTACTACTCATGATCGGTCATCGCGTGGATTTTGCGCAATATGGTGCAGGATTTGTGCTGCTTTGTTGAGTTTTTGATTAATACCAAAAATAACAGTAAATGTGCTTTACTGCAAAAGCTTTTCAGATGTTCATGGAAAGTAAACTTTTATATCAAATATGTCAGTATATAATATCCTTTAATTTGCCCTAATCTATCGTCCCCAGTAGGTATTAAGGTATGGCAGGTGACGGGATACACCACCACATTGGCACAGAGATTGTAAGGCACTCCGACCACTTCCACCTCCCTCATAACCTCACCAACCTCACCTCCTCAGATTACTTCTCACCTCTGGAATTCCCTGACAAGGTCATGGGCCTTCTCTCCCTGACATGCCTTCTAGTTGGCACTCCTCTCAATATCATAGCTGTTTCCTACTTCCGACGCCAGAAACCCAGCGCTTCCTCCGCCGTCTACATCGCCATCGCGCTCACCGACGCCTGGATCAGTTTAAACGGCTACCCCTACTTCATTCTCATGCTCAACAAACGGAAACCAACCCTCTTCGCTAACTATAACTTTATGCAGTTCTGGGGTATATCCTGGGAACCTTTTCCATACTTCTCTGTCTATCTAGTGCTGGTTATCAGCATTATGAGAACTTTGAAGGTTGCCCGGCCACTGGTGGTCATCAAGAGACGGGTAGCCTGTGCGGTGATACTGGCGTATGCAGTGTTCCTGGTGGGCCGGTACCTCATTGGGTTCCTCATGTTTGGACGGTACAACATGGACATATTCGACACATACCCCTACATGAAGATAAATAACGCTGTCTATGAAGTTATAGATTTCTATCTGGCTTTAATCTGCATAGCGTTCCCCATAATCCCGATAATAATATCAGCTGTTATCTGTATCGTAACCCTACAGCTGAAACAGTCAACTAAGACCTCCTGTCAATCAGCCAACAAGAAGAGAGCTAAAGCTACCGTAACCGTCTTGGTATTCACTTTAGTGTACATTCTCTGTAATATCCCCGTGTTTTTGTGTATCGGACGCTATGCTGTTCTCACTATGTTCCATGTGGACCTGATGAGCGGACCTAACCTGTTCCTGGTAAGATATTTCTGGCCCATGACCTACATTTCACTAGTCCAACTCAACTCCCTGCTGAACCCCTTCGTGTATCTGTGTAGGATGGACGATTTCAGGCTAACCAGACGAGGCGTTCTTTCTTTTAGTGTGGCCCAACAAAACATCCTGTCCTCAGCTGTACAAGAGGTGGTGTTCCGGAGGGGAATAGACAGTTTGAACAATACACCCCGGACTAAAGTAACGGTTCACACGGTTGTTAAAGCCAGCACCAGGGACCCCTCCTCGGATAAGTACCTAGATGTGGTGGAGATCCAGACTTTTACTTCTTCCAGCTACCAGATTCAGAGTGAGACACTTGATAGCTGTGTTCATTCACCAAGAAGTTCTCCGTGAATTCATACGGGTTGTTATTGTGTTGTTATTTTACTTAATTCGTGAATATTATGCGGGTTGTTATTTAATTTATTGTGTATAGGGTGTTTTTATAACGGTGTGAATGACCCGTGAAAACGACCCAGGCTCCTGCCTCCTTGGTTATTTCGACCAGGTATTCATGGGCCCAGTTAGCTGCTTAATGTATTTTTAAAGTAACTGAATTAATTTGCAATTTTTTATTCAATGTTTGGGAAGCATTTTGACATTCGTTCATGCAGACAGCAGACTTGATTTTTTAAATTGACGTTTTGATAATATCCAGTTAATCAAAACTACATGCACAAACAATGCCATTGTTATCTCAACATGATGAAAATTATAAGCATATGTCAGAAATTTAACTCGCTGTCAATTTGTTATTTCCGTTATGTGGATTAGATGTTATGAAATTTACTGAAAGAGAGGTTTAATTTTGAGACAAGCGATCAAATTTAGAATATTATAGGCTTCACTGCATGATTGAAGTATTCTGGGATTTTAAACAAATTGACTGCTCGATCGAGGAGCATATCGGACGGGATATATACTCCCAAAATAACATCATCTCTTCTTAGACAAGGCCATTATCGCCTGTTAAAGAGCTATTACAAAACCATTATAGAGTATACAAATGGCCTTAAATGGCTTTAAAAGGCTTTATTTATTAGTTGTGTGTTTGTAATGGCAAGACTTGTTGGCAAACACGTTTAATTTAAAAGTCTCGCCATATCAAGGTCATTTTACACCATATAGGCTGTAATACCAGCTATTACCACAGTGGTATTGGGAATCAATGCTAGACATTTACATATATCTCAATAATAATAACAAGATCTCCAGTTACGAACAAATAAATTTTAAATTACAGAATCGTACGATCTTTGAAACGAAAACTGTACTGGACTGATTTACGAGTTTTACCGGGTGGAATTCACAAGAACCGGAGGTTTTATAGTCCGGTGACCAGACATAGTCTGATTAGTCTGATTAGTTACGCACCATGTTAGTTGACAGTTAGTTCATGTGTTATGGCAATTCATCTTATACTAGGCACAGTATGGCAGATAGTATATCTAATTGCAAGTACCATGCATGTTACACAATAATGGAACCCGATGGTGCAATATAACTGATTTCATCTTTATACTATTTATTAAGGATACAAAAACCTTTCATATCCTACATACTCCTCATATCCTTCATATCCTACATACTCCTCATATCGTTCATATCGTTCATATCGTTCATATCCTTCATATCCTTCATATCCTTCATATCCTTCATATCCTTCATATCCTTCATATCCTTCATATCCTTCATATCCTTCATATCCTTCATATCCTTCATATCCTTCATATCCTTCATATCCTTCATATCCTTCATATCCTTCATATCCTTCATATCCTTCATATCCTTCATATCCTTCATATCCTTCATATCCTTCATATCCTTCATATCCTTCATACTCTACAACATAATATAGAAATCATGCCCATCAAGCTGATCAGACACTGCACGAGTGATCAAGTATAACACTATAACTGTCTATATAACACTATCAAGTATAAACACTATCAATATGTAATTACCACTCAATGTGTAGGTTCACTCACTGTCATACACTATACAGTGGACACCAGATATTACTTACGTCATACCGGGCCCCTATAATCACTTGTCAGTGTTGTGTATGAGCCACATCCTACCTCTTCCAACACAGCTCCTCTACAACACTAGCTCTGATCGGTAGGTTCCCCATTGTCTGGAGCTGACAGTACATTGCTTCTCACTTGCTATAGCCCTTGTTAACCTTGACAAGCCTTGTTGTCGCCTTTGTAATCATAACCTTATTGTTCTCAAGAAATGTTATTCCATCTTTCTGACTCTGCAGCTCTGTCGTTTCTTGATTAATTATAATTTTACCAGCAGTAGAATGGCTTATAAATCAAGAGGCTTGCATATAATGAACATATTGACACGGGCGCAGAGTTGAGTCTGTACGGAACCTAGTAATTTATGCCACTACTGCATTGCTCGAGCACTATTAACGAGAATTATTTGCTCGCTATTGCAACATGGTTACAATGTAACTTTTTACTACAAACTGTTCATAATTCCCGATCTCGATCGCGATTCCTGCTTATTCACAACTTATAAGCCCTATTTTCGCGATGCTCCCGCTTAATACGTCCATTTGCCCTCTATCTGGCTGGATTTACAGTAAATACCTGTCAAAGAGTACAGTCCCTTGTATGTCACTATATATCTCACAGAATATCTCAGCTTGACCACGTGTCCTAATCACGTGACGCCCATTTCCCACCGTCCGGCAGTACTGCACCTCAACTTCACACGAAATAAAATCAGTGTCCGAGAACACAAGATGTGAACAAATGTGCGTAGCATGCAACACCGCTCCACACGGACCACTGTGAAGCGATATCTGCTAGCACGTGACCGTGACCTGACCTCGTCCTGACCTATCCGAGCTGAAATACTAGCGAGCAATATGCGGTCCACAATAATTGAGATGTTTTTAATTTTCTAAAGATTTTCTTGCTGTTTTACTGCGAAACGTGTTGCTTGTTGATCACACCATCTAGTTGATCGCTTTTACAACTCAAACAGTTTTACTGTGCCATATCTTAGAGATTGACATCTTTACGCACAACGACTCATAGAACTAATCAACTATAGAGTATAGACGTAGACTTCTATTTTACTGTGATTTCGAAACGCTTTTATTACCCAAATTTGGACTAGAAGTTAAAATACCCCAAGGAAATTAGCCCTAAAAGTAGCCAAATGAAATAATGTGCCTGTATGTCAGACGTCAGTATGTGTCCATATGGATAGCAACTGACACAAGTGTCAGGTACTAACCATGTCAAAGCGGTTTTAAATGGTCAGGTGAAAATAGTTAAATTGTAAAACAGTTAAACTAAATCTCAAATACCGAATTAGTTGAATTTCAGTCTTTTAAGCTATTCAAGCCCTTCAAAACGGTCTTGACATTAGATTCGATTGGACTGACATGCACATGCGATGAAATCATTATTTCGACATTTTATGTCTGCATGAGTTATAGCCTGGTAGCTGCACAGTTAGATTCGCAGGTAGGAGTTGTTATGCCGGTGCCAATAAGGAAGGAAAGCGAGACGCCTGTACATCGGAACATCGCTAAAATAGCTAAACTAAAAGTAAGTTAGCTACGATCTTGTTCTTTTTAATCATAATTATTAGGTAAACCTGAGAAGTAAATTTGTTTATTTTGTAATAATGGAAATTAAAATGTATTCTCTGGATTATCTCTTGGACATCATAATGATACAGGAATTCAATTTGATTAAGACATTAATATGAAAGGGAAAAAATGAATTGGGTGCGTTTCTCTGTTTTTATTACATATTATGTCACAAAAATATCAATCACCAGCGGTGAAAAAGGGCAAGGTGCTTCATTCATTGTTGAACCTTAAATATTGAATAATCATTCATCACATGAGCTGAGCAGTAGCTGATTAAAATAGAGTGTACTCATATTTTATTGATGATCTAGTTTTAACTTTCTTCTGATGAACTTATTGCGAATGAGTTTAAAACGTATTTTGCAGTGAGTGTGACACATGGCTTACAAACCAGTTCTCGGTAGTAATAATAATAATATAAGGGGTTATTTAAGGGTCTGTCATATCACGTGTTAAACACGAGGGTTCCTTAGTCAGCATCATATCATCAACAATAATACTGAATAAAAGAGTATACTGCTGACAACCAAGATGTAAACCTGAGACTGTGAGATTTAAACTCTTGTTTATTGCTTAAGACCAAGACTAAGAGGAATATGATAACCATACCATTTTCTGAGCTACGTTGAAAATGCTACTTCAAATACAAAGTTTGTTTGAGCAGCTTCTGCACTGGTTCTTTCGCGATCATGCTCGGTGAAAACGTCACAAGTAGTTTTGGCTCACGTCTTCATTTAAAATATGACTGGTATGTCGCATGAATTGATCTGTCATTGCAGAATCGCTTCATTTTCTGCGCATATATGCTGCATTTGTATGTGTTCCTCTGCAAGAAAACGTCAGGTTGCAGGACCAAATAATTAACGACTCTTCGCTGCATCTTAATGGGGCTTCTGGAGCTATGTAATGCTCTCGTAATAATCAATTATGGCTCTTAACCTTTCAATTTCGAGGTTTGAGAATTTATTGAGAACTTCTTGATTACGAACAGCGTATTATCTACTAACCCAGAAATCTTTTACAAAATTCTTTCAGGTAGGATCCCAGGATTTTGGGTTGCAGAAGGAAAAGGGGCCAGGAGTAGGGCAACCCAAACACAACACCTTTGTCGGAGAAGTTTGCCTAAGTGCTGGGGCCTATGTTTCTAGAAGAATGATTAACGAGGTATGACACACGCGGTGCTCTGTCATGTTTTGAACCTTCCACTGAAAGTTGAAATGGTTATATGACCATAAGTCGTCAAACAGAGAGGTTTCCAAAGTGATGACGTCAGACGTTATATTAAAACAATCCTTTATTTAGTACTTAAATAGTATATTAGTACTTGATGCAAATGAAATATCTCTCTGACTCCCCTAAACGCCCAGATCCCGCCCCAAAGTACGGGAGACTGGAGCGACAGAGGAACCACAATCCCGGGTTGGAACGTGGTGGTGTACCCACAACCTGGAGATATAATCGCTTATAACGGGATACCGGCAGTAGTGACCAGTCACAACACTTCCGTCACAGTCGTTGGTAAGGGCAGAGGGCTCGTGTGACAATGACAAACTTAATGACAAACAATTTGTAGCGTGTGACACAATGTGACCAAGATGCTCCAATCTTGCAGACATTGGGCCAATTTTCCACGAAATATTAAAGCCAGTATGGAAAAATTCACATACTATTACTACAGCTGACAGTGAATTAGCATGTATATATACATTAGCATGTATATTGTATGTGTATTTGCGCATGTCCTGGAGGACCTATTTCGAAACGGACAAACAAACACACAAACAGGCAAAGAGCTCGATAGATAATATCAATTATCTTGGGCAGTAGTTCGGTTGGCGATTACCATTAAATCATTGCATTTACGGGCCTCATTTATTGCTAGGCGGTTTCTAAGTTTTAAAGGTTGTTCTATAATGTATAAAAAAATTAAAAAATCTTTTATTTCATAATCTTGTACTACATCGTTTTTCCGATATTGGTTGCATGTTAACTCAAACAGTTTTTAAACAAGAGCTCACCTCCATATACAACAGGTGAGGAGTGGTCTTTCTACTTCATACTTCCAAAAGCTAAATTTAAACCTCAATCCGTGCCGCTGTTTGTTTCGCAGTTTTTTGTTTAAGCTTGTGCGCCCGAACTTATCTTCGTCTGGTCTCATCGCTAGGATTTGGTAATAGTAGTGTAAGAAGTATAGTTCATAGTACACATGCATTATAGCTCCAGTCTTAGCACCAAATCATTTTACCGTAACCGGCGTTTGAACCAAGTCAGTTACGCGTGTTTGTCCGGTCCCCGTACTGAAATCTGATACTGGGGTATAATGCCCAGAGAACCCAGAGGGTTAAAATGGTTAAGGGAGTCAAGGGAGTTAAGATTTTCGCACTATATAGAGCGGAGCAATTCAATTTAGAAGTATCTAGTCTAGTCTTGTTTGTGTGTTGTGTGGAATGGCTCAGAGCATTTCCCGCTATTTCGTTTAAAATTGTTGATTCTTCCCTTATTAAACTATACTAGAAAAAAAAACACGATTTTAATGGCTGACAGTTTGTAGTTTGGTTACTGACCTAAATTTTTGTTTCAGACGGGGTAGTTCGAGAGACAAACTGGGGATTCAGACTAGGTCACGAGAATGCAGTAGTAAGGCGTTTCATGCCCAAGTCGGTTCAAGTCAACATAGTCGGTCCAAAGAGAGTTAGGTTCTCGCAAAGAAGTGGTGAAACTATTACAGCTGGGTGAAAGAAACTTGTTGTAGATTGATAGAGATTAGAGAATGAGGTTTAATTAGCCTCTTAAGTGAAGTGAAGTTAAGCTTAAATGCAGAAAAAGTTAACAAAATACGTTGATGTTTCGGAGACAAATGAAGTTTTGAATTTTGAAGATGAATACATGGACCATTTCAAATACATGAACTACTACGGATACAGGTGTGATTGAAAAGCTGTGGCAAGATTATCTATGAAGGATTTCAGTGAACGTTTTGGACATAATCTGGGTTTTATAATTATTTGTTTTCTAACTATGATCAAACTGGATTCTCAAAACGTTTTCGTTAGTTTTAATAACACTTAAAATTCCTCTGCGATTCATATAGCAGTGTATGTATGAACCGCAGCCTAGCACGAACCACAAATCGAGAAGCATTGTTTTCCAAATTCGAATAATGATGACCCCGGCCCACTGTATGGATCTGAACGTTGATTGAGCTTGATTCGGGATAAGGATCAGACAAGTGAAACCACGTTGGCTTATAATTTATATCTGAACAGCTGCAGTCTGCAGAAGGGGTATCGCTATTTCCTTCAGAATACAGCAAATGTGCGCAATATATATAATAACCATGTAACCATGCGTTCTCCATGCCCTACCTTTAATTTCTACAGAATGCGTATAATAAACGCACGTTCCAAATCTAAGGGGATATTTACCGCGCCATCCGTTAAGTCATAGCCACGTTGTCTAAAATGTCGCGCTGCTAAACCGGTTGATCCGGGTGGTTCCTGCACAACCGAGCAGTGAAGCAAGGACAATAACCCGTCACCCGATTACTAACTAATCAGAAATTTGAAAATCACATATAAATCGAATCATTGCGTAGCCGGGTGGGTTTCTCTCAGGGACAAATATCACGAACGCAGTTCGTGGAATGTCTAAATTTTTATGTTAATTTATCTGTGGAGTGTCATTAGAACAGAGAGTTTAATTCGCTCTGGAAAATCCAAAATCCTGGAATTCAAATCTAGCAACTTTATCACGCCCAGACATGCTGCAGTCTACGGCTAAAAGCTATCCTGTAGTTATAACTTACTTATCTTACACAATATGATCTATTAACAAGGGTAGATCGCATATATTATAATGAACGCGTACTAACTACTAAATAGAGACAGCCCTCATTAAAAAGTACTACCAAGAATTTGCCTTTTGAACTCTAATTTTATTAGCAATGAGCGCTAATGATCCGGTTAGGCAATTAATCGTGATTATTTTATGAACAGTGATGAGAAAAAAAGCAATTTCAAAAGCAAGTCATTGTTGATTGTTCCATCTCAATCTTTCGGATATTTCTCGCGGTTTAAGTTCCTACCCACTGTTATACATAAGTCCACGAACAGTTTTCAGTTTATCAGATTGTGACAGCTTACTTTCCAGGTGGAAAGGTCGTGACGTGGCAGAGAATTTAGCGTACCTGACTTTTAAACTAGTGTAATTCAATATACACGTATTAGGGGAACTAGGGGTTTAGGTCTGCGTGTATTTATGCAGGTTTATTGGCATAAGTGGCGTAAAATGTAAGTTATAATATTCGATAAATTACAAAATGATGTTCAATAATATGCATAATGCAATATTTATTAATTTAAATAACATATTTTGCAACCTATTGAAGATGACTTATCCCATTATTATCAGTAATAAAGCACTATATGAACGCTGTGGTGTAACATCGTTGTCAGAGCGAGTGACATATGCTCGCTGGAAAATGCTGGGACATGTCCTTCGCAGTGACTGCTCATCACCAGCTCAGAGAGCTCTTCAATTTGCTGTTAATGCGTTATTTACCATGAAAGGACGTGTTGGTCGACACCAAAGTAATCTTTTAAAGTTTATTATAAATGATTTGAATAAAAGAAACCTACCATTACGTGATATTAATGATCTTTATGATCTTAGGGCTACTGCCTCTAACAGAGTTTTGTGGAGAAAATTATTTACCTCATAATTAACCTCTTTTTTTTTCAGAGAACTGTTATGTTTTTTTTGGGCACTTATCAGTCTCTTAAGATGTTTCTTTACTATTTCGAGATTGTTTTAAAAGTTAGATAATAATAATTTTGCAACCTTATCTCGTATTTCATATCGACTAACAGCTTGCTGCTTTGTGACGTGATCCTATGTTGTGGTAGACGCAGTATATGATAAACGTAACAATAGTTCAGTGTTATTAAACAAATTGTTTATAGTAGTTTATAGATGAGATTCAAATGTTCAACACAATTAATAGCTAAAATCCTACAGTGAGTAGGTACTGTAGAAGGTACTATAGTAGGTACAATGTACTGTAGTAGGTACTGAGTACAGTCCTGATAACACAATATGGTGTAACTCTAGCTATTGAGTATTGGTGGCATTTAACGTAGCATGTACTATACATTGTATATCTATTGTCTGACTTATACTCAAGTGTATAAGTTATTCTGTATAGTGTATACGTGATACAAAGATGTCATAAAACAGTGAAAAATGTCCTAGGAATTAATTAATTGGTGGGTTTTTGTTTTCACAAATATAATATAAAACACCAGTCGGAACCTTGTAGCTTATTTACAAGACATTGTTGAGGCCCAGAATGTTCTCTTAACATCATAGAATGTTCTCTTAATGCTTACAAGTTACATTCATAACATTCTCCAGTTGTTCATCATCGTTACAGCACCATTAAATCTTACACTGACAATGAGTTGGAACGTACTAGTAGATCTGTACACTCAATATGGATGTAACCTGTTATATTATATATAATATAGGGTAATATATTATATAATAGTGGTGTTTTGAAGCTTAACTTGACAGGTAGGGATCAGAATGCTTTATAACCTGCCACCTGGTGACTGCTGCCAAATCGAGGACAAGTTGTTGTAATGTAGCAAATATTTTGGGGTATCATTAGAGTAGCTATAATGTGGTTAAAGAGTTTACGGGATTATATTGTGGTGGAAATGTTGCGAATTCTTACTATTATTTGGTCAATATAAAACTGTGGTATGTTGCTAGTCCCATACAAAAAATGTAGATCATAATTTCAAAGATGGATCTGCTGGGGTCAATTTTGAGGTACATTTACTTTATTGTGTACTATGTAGTCTAAATAGGGTGTAAAATGCAGTTAAACAATACAGTTAAAATGAAATCGGAGTAATGTGATTGATAAGAATACTTTTATACAAAATAGATCAATAGATCAGTTTATCTTTCGTAAGAAGAAAAACTTTCTCATGCTACACTGTAAAGTAAGATGTAGAGATAAGTGACAATATTACAATAAACCAGTTAGCAATGTGTAACATTCCCGGTGGTTAAATATACGGTTGAGTAACAATATAACCGACGCCCAAGATGTATATACAAAACTTATACGAATAACGATTCGCTAACCATACCTAATCAATAAAACCTAAAAATCATATATACCAGACCCAAATTAATTACAAAGTAAAAACATCAAGTCCAAATACTACAACCCCTATCATACCATTCCTTTCCTCCGCACGTCTCCCTCATTTACTGACAAGATTTCCACTTTTTTTTTCTCTCAACCTCACTAGAATCTCCCTCTTCTTTACTCCTCCTTCTTCTCCTCCTCTTCCTTATTACCTCCCCTGTACTTGAATATGAGGAGAGTAATAGCCAGGTTGAAGGCTCCGTTGACTGCGTGTTGTCCCACAATAGTCATATCACCAAGTAAAAGGTATCCAACAAACACTCGCACTGGGGGAGAAGGAACAAGTTAAGAGTGTGTAATTGCTTTAATTGGTTTATTAATTGGGTGATAATTAACCCGACGAGTGTTGTAAATTTTAATATAACGATAGGTGGTCATGATAGGTATTGTGCGAGTGCATTGATTGTACGGGAGATTATACTATATATAGTATACAATTTACAATTACTGCGAGTATAACTCGGTAATAAAGTTATCATCAGCTTGTTAAGTTACTTGTTAGGTTATTATCTATAATTTCAATAAATATAAATTTTAAACAATTTCCTTCTAGATTCTTAACTATAATAGACAAGCATTATAGCTCCAGGCTCCTTTTAAACTACATATATATATGTATTAAAGAATGAACTACATATATATGTATTAAAGAATATAAAACACTATTGTCTAGTTGCGCAACCTTTTACACCCGTGTGTTTCCACTTAAATCCATGTATTTTAGTTTGGTACAGCTGGAGAAGCAACAATATTACGTACCAAGCATGATGATTCAATGGAAACTAATTAGTATAGGTTTCTCCAAAGTAACAATTGCTTGTAAACACTAAGCACGCGCTAAACACTAGTAAATAATGCAGCTTTAAATTGCATGACGGAAATACTTACTAGATCACTAAATTGGTGATTGTATAGCGAGATGCAAAGCTTTTGGTGTACTTATTGTGTCTTTTATTAGAGTATGTGATAAAAAGTATAAGGGGACCCGGCACATATTTATGACTGAAATTTAATACACATATCAAAACAGTCGTACCAATACACAATTTGTATTGCGTCAAGAATTTGTAGGTATATATACTATAACTTTAAGGAGCATAGGTATTAGTAATTCATTCTTAACTTGTAAATCATATTCTTGTTTTATTATGCAGAAATTGTAAATCTTTATAAATTATACAGAAAGTAATGTCGACCCTTTAATTGAGTACTACGTATTATAAAGGCTGGGGTTATAAGTAGGGTAATATGAGCGGGTGATATTGAGCGGTAGTAGTAGTAGTAGTAGTAGTAGTAGTAGTAGTAGTAGTAGTAGTAGTAGTAGTAGTAGTAGTAGTAGTAGTAGTAGTAGTAGTAGTAGTAGTAGTAGTAGTAGTAGTAGTAGTAGTAGTAGTAGTAGTAGTAGTAGTAGTAGTAGTAGTAGTAGTAGTAGTAGTAGTAGTAGTAGTAGTAGTAGTAGTAGTAGTAGTAGTAGTAGTAGTAGTAGTAGTAGTAGTAGTAGTAGTAGTAGTAGTAGTAGTAGTAGTAGTAGTAGTAGTAGTAGTAGTAGTAGTAGTAGTAGTAGTAGTAGTAGTAGTAGTAGTAGTAGTAGTAGTAGTAGTAGTAGTAGTAGTAGTAGTAGTAGTAGTAGTAGTAGTAGTAGTAGTAGTAGTAGTAGTAGTAGTAGTAGTAGTAGTAGTAGTAGTAGTAGTAGTAGTAGTAGTAGTAGTAGTAGTAGTAGTAGTAGTAGTAGTAGTAGTAGTAGTAGTAGTAGTAGTAGTAGTAGTAGTAGTAGTAGTAGTAGTAGTAGTAGTAGTAGTAGTAGTAGTAGTAGTAGTAGTAGTAGTAGTAGTAGTAGTAGTAGTAGTAGTAGTAGTAGTAGTAGTAGTAGTAGTAGTAGTAGTAGTAGTAGTAGTAGTAGTAGTAGTAGTAGTAGTAGTAGTAGTAGTAGTAGTAGTAGTAGTAGTAGTAGTAGTAGTAGTAGTAGTAGTAGTAGTAGTAGTAGTAGTAGTAGTAGTAGTAGTAGTAGTAGTAGTAGTAGTAGTAGTAGTAGTAGTAGTAGTAGTAGTAGTAGTAGTAGTAGTAGTAGTAGTAGTAGTAGTAGTAGTAGTAGTAGTAGTAGTAGTAGTAGTAGTAGTAGTAGTAGTAGTAGTAGTAGTAGTAGTAGTAGTAGTAGTAGTAGTAGTAGTAGTAGTAGTAGTAGTAGTAGTAGTAGTAGTAGTAGTAGTAGTAGTAGTAGTAGTAGTAGTAGTAGTAGTAGTAGTAGTAGTAGTAGTAGTAGTAGTAGTAGTAGTAGTAGTAGTAGTAGTAGTAGTAGTAGTAGTAGTAGTAGTAGTAGTAGTAGTAGTAGTAGTAGTAGTAGTAGTAGTAGTAGTAGTAGTAGTAGTAGTAGTAGTAGTAGTAGTAGTAGTAGTAGTAGTAGTAGTAGTAGTAGTAGTAGTAGTAGTAGTAGTAGTAGTAGTAGTAGTAGTAGTAGTAGTAGTAGTAGTAGTAGTAGTAGTAGTAGTAGTAGTAGTAGTAGTAGTAGTAGTAGTAGTAGTAGTAGCTGAGTACTAGGAGGGGTGGTCTGACTCTTCACAGGGCTTTGCGAGTGTGTAGAGTGTAGATAAATTATTGCCTTATTATGTTTTTTGCCAATGTTACACTCCTGAGCCAGTCGGTGTAGCACTGACAAAAGACAAATTATTATTACTCACCGATGTTACTGTAAACGAATATGATCCAAGCAGCGGGCTCCATGGCAGAGGTGTCTTTAGTAGAGAGGATACTAGAGATAAATGTCATCTTACTAGCCAAGTTCAGCAGAACCACTCCTTGCTGAAGATTAGAGGTGTTAGCTTTATCATTGTTACCTATTCCTGCCTCATCAACAAGTACGCAGATTACAAGACATTTTTCCTAACATTTTAATAATTAACTGTTTTAAATTAAATGTTTGAAAATCACTTACCATGACCATGACTATCATGTCTTTAGTCACTGTCCCCACAACAACCGAAGCGACAGCCACCAAGTACCCGATGATGTTTCCGTATTCTCTGGCTCCTAGAGCTTCTTTTCCGTACAGCAACATCAGGATAACAATAACGTAATCTGAGTGAAATGTGAGATTACCATACAGAAGATGAAACGTAAGTTAAGAGATAATAAGATATTTTAGATAATTAGAAATGAAAAAAGAAAATACAGCTTACCAGTTTCAGGATTCAATTTCTGTACATTTTCCGATAGATGTTAGATGACAGGTTACCCAGTAAGAAAGTGATGATTATTAATTTCTTACCTTGGACAAGGAGAATAGAGATGTCAGAATAAGCCAGAAGGTCGTACTCTTGGACTACGAAGTAAAGCACTTGAATTGTTAGCCTGAAGAGATGAGATTTAGTTACTTTAAGGGGGCAGGGGAGTTCTTTATGAAATTTCTCTCGACATTGATTTTATGGTTGTTTCTGATAGAGGGGAGTGATATCTAACAGTTTAACAATTTTAAGATAGGCCTTTAAAAATTTGTATTCGATTTAGAAAATCTTGGACCTGGAAAAATCGTCAAAAAACGAGGTCCAAGATTTTCAAAATCGAAAAAAAATTTTCTAAGGCCAATCTTAAAATTCTGATCTAAGAGAATCTCCTAAATGGTCCTTAGTACATATCCTGAAATTTTCAAGGTGATTGCTAAAAAAATGTAGGAGAAGATAGATTTTTAGACTCGATTTTCAGGGCGCGCAATTGAAAATTGCTCACGCAATACAATTACACATGAGTGCTGACCTTTGACCAGCGATAATTTCGGCTAGGAACAATATTTTTCCATGAGACCATATAAGCAGCTGATAGATATCACTCCCCTCTATAAGAAACAACTATAAAATCAACTTCGAGAGAAATTTCATAAAGACCCCTGCCCCCCTGCAACCTTAAGTTTGAACAAACACAACTATAAGCACATGCTTCTTTAATAGGACATAAAATTAGTAATGTGAAATTAAACTGGATACATTTTAAATACATTCTTCATTCGAATCAGTATGAAACTCCAAAATAACAAAATCTATAGCATTTTACCTTAGGGCCAATAAATTTGGTTTGCAATAAATTTGGTTACCATAATTTTGGTTACCATAATTTTAGTCACAAATTTCGCAAATTTTTAGTCTACAACAATTTTAGTCACATCTTTCGACTTTTCGAGACCATTTTCCATTTTATTTACATTAAGAACGACAAATTTAGTCTACCCCGTCTGAACATTACAAATTAAGCTGCAATGTATGACTCAGGAATTTCAGTAACATCAGATCCAGAGTTTGTGACTCTGTATCACTAAGTTCTTCAGTACACTGTTCAGTTTCTTTTTCACCCTTTTTCTACTTTACCATTTCTGTCGGTACAACGTAGTTTATGTCGATATGATCCTTCAGCCGTTTCAACAGAGCATGCATTGGGATGGATCGATTAAAAATGTTATGTCCAAGAGGAGCTCTAACCCTTTAAGTGCAAGCACTTTGGTACGGTTTTGTGCAGTAGGAACGGTGATGTCATTATATTAATTATAAACAATGTAAGCTTAATAATATAATATGGTCTACTGAAATTTTGGTATCCTTTAAAATAAGTCGCCGAAAAATTTAGTCTCATGAAATTTGGTTTACAACAATTTTAGTCAAAAGTTTGACTAAATTTATGGTAGACTAAATTTGTCGTTCTTAAGGTATCAAAGTCTAAAAATAATTCTGAAACTAAAAAGAGTGTCACTTACGAGAATATTTCAATTGAGAACCCATTGAAACTGAGACCATCAACATTTTTGGATTTGATGATAGCGATGATTTGGGGAACCTGGGCAACAAGCGCGCCCACAAGGGTAGTAATCCCTAAGATGGTCCCGACTTGCGCAAGTTCAATCATGATTCCTAGGCAAATAATACATTAATGTAAAAATTTATAATTTACTAAAATAATTGGAGTATGCCCAATATAAGCAACAAGAAAGCAACAAATTTTCAAGAAAACAACAAATTTTTATTTAAATCAATTATAGCAACAATTTGAAAAACTTTAAAGTTCTTCTATTACCATGGAATATACTACAGGTATGGTGACTTGGGCTATTGAGTTGTTAAGTAGATTAAGATTAGTAAACATGCACTTGCATTGTATATTTTATAAAAACTAGAAATTAGGCTTCACGGTAAAATGGAGAAGCAGGCTGATCTTGGAGAGAGCAGACCAGTGGCGTAACGAAGGGCCCCGCTGAACCCGCTGTGCGAGGGGCGCCGTCTTAGGGGGGCGCCAAATCGTCATTTGAATGTGGGACAATTTCGAAACTTAACTAAAGTACTAGCAAAACTGCGCGTTTTGCTCTAGATACACGCTTTTTTAAAGATTTTACCGGTGTATCGTCTAAAATCACCTAATTTGTTCAATATTAGGGAGGGGCACCAAAAGGGGAGGGGGCCAACAGGGGGAGCTTTTTTCGGCGGGGGGCGCCAACAGGCAACATTACGCCACTGGAGCAGACCGTAAAGTTTACGCACCCACCAGGGCTACCTACCTACCCCAGTTGTTCTTTTTGGTTTATCAGCTTGTATTGTTATATTTATGAACCCCAAGTCACCACACTAAAACATTCTGGGTTCTGAATTTTGCTGGGTACTGTAATTCGTAATTTAATTTACTGGAAAATTCTGCAAAACAATAAATGAATATTGTTTTGCCTATCAGTATCTATGTGCATGTTACAATGTATCATATAAGTATTAATAAACTGGGTTAAGATGTCAATGTTAAGGACAGAATATGATGAAATGTGCGAAATGCCCTTCGCATGACCAGAATAGACAACTGTGGAGCAAAGTGGTATTGAGCTTCATGGCAAGAAACTCCCATCACATAAATTTGTAGCTGTAAGATATTATAAGAGCAAATACTCGTTGATAAGAGGCGTTTTTAGACTGCTAAATGTTAATGTTTCTCGTTTAACTACCAAAAGAGACTTGCTCTAACATCTCTGTATACAACGATCTGGACTTGAATGGCAAAGATGAAGGTAGAATCGCCGGAGATGTTCCGTAACCTGTCCATCTTAGAGTCACAGAACCTAGAGTTGGCTATCAAAGCCAAAGATCTCCAGATCAACGAACTCAGAGGTACAATCAGTAGTGATGAACCACAACTAACACTACCACCAAACGACGTGAAGAGCCTGAAGAAACACTACATTTCTAAAATAGAGTTCTACAGAAGCCAAAACAACAACAAGTGGAAACACTGGCCCAACAAGACCAAAGCTCTCCTCCAAACTTTACTGACACAGACTAAGAAGAGGAGGAATTTCAAAAAGCGACAACACCGGAACGACAGGAAAGTTGAGCGTGACGCCAAAAGAGCACTGGATACAGGAAGTGTTGTAGTGTTGGTTAACGAAGACATACCTGCTGGGGCACTGGCACTGTTAGGAAAAGGACTAGGCTACATCCCAACCCCAACTCGGGATAACATCGACTTGAGACTTGACATGAAGCTCGTCACCAACAAAATACTGAACTATTCTAATAGAGTACTATCCGGAGAGACAGGATTACCTAACATCAGCAACCTCCCCGCCAAACTCCGTAGAAAAAACTACTCTACAGCAAAACCAAGCAATGAACAAGCAGTCAATACAGCAGTGGACACAATGAGACGAGAACTCGACATCAAATTGAAGACTGCCGGAAGCCCACCTAAGCCCACCAACTTATCCTCTTCTGAGATAAAAGGACTCAAATGGTTGGAACAGCACATTAAAGATGGGACAATAGCTATCACTAAGGCAGACAAGGGTGGTGCAACCCTTATTATCGACCCTGACCTCATCAAGCAACGGACACTGGAGAAACTGGAAAATCAGGAACTATATGAAAAGTTGGACTGTGACCCTACCCAACAGCTGTATGAGAAACTCTTCAAGCACTGGGTACAGGGAAAAGAAGAAGGACTGATATTAGCAAGGGATGCGAAAGAAGTGATGGGTGTTTCTGACAACACCAGAGCAGACCAAACTGGACCCACAAACCGCCCCAGTACCCTCCCACACTATCGCCCTGGACAGCCGTATTTCTACCCTGCTTTTAAAATCCATAAGCTGAAAAAAGAAGACCTCATACCAGGGGCAAAACCACCAGCTAGACTCATTACCGCCCTCCACGAAGGAGCCAGCAGACGACCGGATGTCTTCCTAGCTGATAAATACCTACGTCAACTAGAAAGGGATTTTTGCGAAGACCTTCTTATTGATAATAGAGACGCCTTAGTTTGGCTCGACAACATCAACAATACCCTGGACACAGAACTCAAAAGCAACATTAAAGCATTCACATTTGATTACAAAGCTTTATATGATTCATTGAGCCCCCACCTTACAATCCAAGCTTTGAAGGTGGCCATGGAAGAAAAGAGACCAGAATGGTCCGCCAAATTCAAGGAGTGGTTGATAAGAAGTGTTGAACTCAGCTTTGAGTCGTCTATAGGCAAATTTAACGGAGAGTGGTACAGACAGAAACGAGGAGTACCGACAGGAGGCAGTATCTGTGTACAACTTGCAAACATAGCAGTATACCATGTCATGCGTGAGCAAGTCTATACAGACACGGAACTAATGGAACCTGTAAAATCGGTCAAGAGATACATAGACGACGGCTGTGGAGTATTCCATGGTACGAAAAGACAGTTTTCAAAATTCATCGCGACTGTCAACTCAAGGCTAGCAGAACTTGGCCTCCACATTGATGAGAACATCATAGAAGATAACAATGTTTATGTGCCGTTCTTAGACATCAAATTTTGTTTCGACACCGCAGGTGATCTTCAGACAGACCTCCATGTTAAAGAGACTGATGCCCGCTCCTACCTGTACTTCGGTTCCCACCACCCGAACCATACATTCAGCAGCATAGTCTATAGTGCATGTCTGAGACTCCGGCGAATCATCAATGATAACGACAGACTCCGAAAACAAATTGATGAATTAAAAACCTTTTTCTTCCAATCCAACTACCCTAAAACTATGGTAGATAACATCAGTGAAAAGGTCAAAGGCTTCGAAAGATGTCTCAAACCACTGGACAACTCAAACAGCAATGTCCTGGTACCAAAGTCTCCAGAACCAGCAGTCCGCGTTATTTCAACATTTGGCAGTGATCAAGAGTTAGTAGAATCGGTGCAAAGATTGGAACCAGAACTCAGTAGAACCAGGAGCTTCTCAGGATTATCTGGTTCCCATACAAGTGGAAACACCCCAGGCTCCCCAATATCATCTAGAGCCGGTACATCACGCCCTATCTTCAAATTCGTCAGACGTACTGGAACATCATTTAGAAGGAAGTTAGTCAAAGCAAAACAGTTTGCGGATGACTTAACCCAACCTCACACAAGACCATGTGGGGGCAGACACTGCGGTACCTGTAACATCATATCTCCACATCCATCAATAACAGTCAATGGACAGCGAGCCAAAGCAGTGACTGGTACATGTGTCAGCTACAATGTTGTATACCTCTTCAGTTGCCAACTTTGTAACATGTGTTATGTAGGAAGAACGGTGCAGCCCCTCAGGGCACGAGTAAACGAACATCGCGCCCATTACTACAAACTCATTTCGGACAATACGTTTGTCCCTGAAGAAAACGACGACGGATTCAGCTTGGGTAAACACCTTGTAGAAGTTCATAACATGAAACAACGTGACAATTTTAACCAGGCTTATAAAGTGTCAATTCTCAGTAATAGTAGCCCAAGAACTCTAGAAGTGGATGAACACCGTTATATTCAGAAACTTAGAACTATACGTCCATTGGGGCTCAATGCCATGGACCCGTTTGGGATTCCATTATTGGATTTATCTTAAATGTTTTCTATTGCATTGGGGCACAAGAGTTATGTTTTTAAAAAATATTCATATCGTTTTTAGTTGTGTCATTTCATTTCCAATGTTACACTTTGTAGGAACTGATATTAACAGAGTTTCTGATTCAGGATGTTACTGAAGATAGTAATGAAAATGTTTTAACGCCTCAGTACTGTGTTTTACTACAGCTCAACCTGCTCAGTCTGACTATTTGGGAATTTAAACTCTTGAGATGAAGGTGATAAGGACTTCACAGTTAACTTGAAGTCTGGAATACTAGGCACCAGCATTGCGACTGATGATGTAGATGAGTGGTAAGTGATCATGATCTACTTGTCATACGTTGTATGACCCGCCGCGCACGAAGTGCGTGGCTCACCCTGTATCGTCAGTGAAACGACCGTGGGTGTGAAAACGACCGTGGGTGTGAAAACGACCGTGGGTGTCACAACGTGATACAATGATCTACAACAAGAATTTTGGAGAAAAGTTACTAAGATCCACAAACTTACATACTTGTGGATAGTAAATCTTAAATGATCTCTCTTGCCAAACTTTTATAATCCAAAGGTGAACGGAGGTCGGAGGCACAAGATTCAAATGGGTAGTTAGTAGTCACAAGATGGCCCCTTGACCAAGTTACCCTAAATTAAAAATAAAATTTTTCAAACAGTATACACACAATGTCACAATGACCCTATGTAAAAACAACCCTTTAAAAACTCAATATTTTCCCTATCTCAAATATTGGGATGATGATGATGAAAATCTAAATATTAATCTAAATATTGGGAGAAACATTTGAAAATCACCCTTGGCCTTGTTATGTGGCTCCAAGTTCAAATCTAGACTATCTATATTGACAAAGTTCTTTCTCGCACCGTTACCCTAAATAAACAAGTAACACACAAATCGCAACAGATATAAATGGACAACGATAAACAAACTATACCCTCAATCGAATTCAGAAAGAACGAAACTGGGTACCCAATATTATACCCTATATTTATTAGTATAGTATATAGTATAGGCGGTGCGTGCTCAACTTTTCTTTCCACCATATTTTCAATTAAATGTTTACGAATACAAAAGTCTGAGTTCCCCAGGTAGAATACCTGCATGATATAGAAGCTGTAATAAAGAATAGATATGACTCCAAAGCCCGTAATCCTGAAAATTTGAAGAAGAGAAACATAATATATATATATTGTATATAGTCCTTTATTTTTATTTTTAAATTAATAATTAAGTGTATATATTTGTTGATTCACGATGTCAATCCTTCGCGCATTTCGCCAATCTACCGAAAATTGTGGTTGCGATAAACATTATTTGATGCGCGGCGCGACCCAGTAGTGCATCGCGATACAACTTGTCATACGTTGTATGACCCGCCGCGCACGAAGTGCGCGGCTCCCCCTGTATCGCCAGGACGATAAAGGGTGAAACGACGATAAAGGGTGAAACGACGATAAAGGGTAAAACGACCGTGGGGGTCGCAACGTGATACAAGATACAACTATATTTGTTCATATTTATTATAGTTTATCCAGTCTAGTGACCATAAAAAATGTTGAAAGACGTTGCTCCGACGCTCCGCGCGCATTGTCTTTTGCATTTTTGCTTCGCTTCGAAGCTTAACTGTTACTGGGCCGCGCTCAGCCTGTCATTCCGCCTAATATAATCTCTATTCATATGTTTATGAACATAATAGCCTGAGGTCCCCAGGTAAGTCCCCAGGTAACTTAACTGGTGACATGATACTCGTAAAATATTTGTTTCAAATACCGAGTTCAACCTTGCAAGCGTCTTAGTACAGTAAGTTATAAACCTACAATTTGAAGCAAAAAAAGAAAATTCGATTTTTTTTCCTTTGCTTTGCAAACAGCAAAGCAATTTATTTACTTGCTAATTTATTGTTCGCTCCTCTCACCCAATGAGAGAATTAGCGCGAAAAGAGTGCACTGCGCATTGGGACTGGCATGTCAGGTAAAAAGTAATGATAGCGATCTCGAAGAGTTGACAGCCTCGCTCAATGAACGGATCACATCGCGGAAGACGCGCGCACTGCTACGAATAAAAAGTGACTATCAATAAGTATATAAAAGTATCAATAAGTAAATAAAATACTACTAAATTAATTATCAAATTACTAAAATAAAATAATCTTTGGCTTTTACTAATTTGCTCGCCCAAACATTTCACGTGACTTTGGTTTTTATGGTTTTCTTGTAAATTTACAACCTACCAGGACGCGCGCCGAGTTGGACTCGTCGACGGCTTTTACTAATTCGCTCGCCCAAAAATTTCAGGTGACTTTGGTTTTTATGGTTTTGCAGCCGTACAAAACGGTTTTACATAAACCCTTATCCCAACCCTAACCCTAACCTTACCTGGGGACCTCAGGCTATTATGTTCATAAACATAGAGATTAGGCGGAATGACAGGCTGAGCGCGGCCCAGTAAACCCTAACCATAACCCCGAAGCTAACCATAACCCTTACCACAACCCTAACCCTAACCCGAGCCCTAAACAATCGAATTCTTGTATCACGTTGTGACACCCACGGTCGTTTCACTAGGTTCTGACGATACAGGGGGTCATACAACGTATGACAATCGAATTCGTATTTTACTAGCATGTCACGTGACCAAAACGGTTTTTTGCCCATAACTCTCCAGGGAAGCATTTTAACCCTACGTCAGGGGGTGATTCGGAATCAGCGTCCAAAAATACACCGATTCAGATCACTTTCATACCCAAAGGACCTTTTCACAAGAATTTTCTTAAAATTTGGGCGAGCGATTTAGTAGAAGCGCTCGTCGACGGTTCAATAAATGGAACAGATATTTTACGAGTATCACCCGTTAATGGTTTTGCAGCCGTACAAAACGGTTTTACATAAACCCTTATCCCAACCCTAACCCTAACCATAACCTCAAAGCTATCCATAACTCTTACCACAACCCTAACCCTAACCCGAGCCCTAGCCCTAAACAATCGAATTCATGTTTTACTAGCCTGTCACGTGACCAAAACGGTTTTTTGCCCATAATTCTCCAGGAAAGCATTTTTACCCTACTATGTTATGGGGGGGGGGGGGGGGGGGGGGGGCGGGGTGATTCGGAATCAGCGTCCAAAAATACACTGATTTATATAAATTTCATACTCAAAGGGCCTTGGCCTTTTAACAAGATTTTCTTAAAATTTGGGCAAGCGATTAATAAATATAAGGAGCGATGTAAGGCAGTTTAGAAGCTAATGACTTCTATGCCAGTTAAAATCAAAATGTTTGATGATAGTCAGCGACGAAGTGAGACTTTCAATTGGTCTCCAACTAATATCAAATATAATGATCAACAATCAAGTACTATATACCCACACATTAGAGCGGGAAAAGATCTAGATGACTAAATAAAAATGTACATAAAATAGGTACTCATTGTGACGGAATTAACTTGCGCTTGCAGTATTTGACATTTATTCAGCCAATCAGAACTCAGAATGCTGGAATTTGAATTTGGTCACGAGGATGGAGGACGGGTGAAATTTGTAGGCGCGCGCGGTGACAAGTATGCTATTACTTGGGGACTTCAGGTTTTTTCTGTTTATAAATAGATTGAAGCTGCAGCCGAATGACAGACTGAGCGCCGCCAAGTCAGCATGCTATAAAGAAATCATTACCTGGAGCACGTTTCCCAGCCGGTAAGGATTCCTGGGCACTGGGAAGACAGTTTTCCAGTAAAACAAAAATTAAAGGCGTTTCATTTTGTCATATGAGCTCATTAACAAAAATATTGATATATTAATATATGCTTTGTCATGTTGCGAAGTATTTGAGGGTGTGTCATAATCAAATAACGGACCAACCTGGAAGGCTTCTTCGACAGCTGACTAAAATTTTCTTGGCCTTTTAGCTTTATGTGCATAAATTGTGTCCGGCAGCCATCAATGCAGGTCCTAAATTTAATAGCGTTTAGACTTCAACACGCTAAACTTTGGAGATGCCCTTCCCGTCTGCTTCGTGCGGCACCAATAGATTTATACCTACATCGTTACTTTTATTGCACTAGATTGCTTCCTTGAAGTCCAGAAGTGCATCTCCAGTAGTTAGAAATGCCTCTCAGGTTACCTGGGGACCTCAGGCTATTATGTTCATAAACATAGAGATTAGGCGGAATGACAGGCTGAGCGCGGCCCAGTAACCTCTCAGGCAACCTTGGACTTTTCAGATACTCGACGCGATGTTCCAGCCTCATTTAAAAAAACTATCCATCATGTCCAGCATCAGAATGCAGAATGATTCTGACAGCCAGGCAACGGCCGTAGTGGTATTTGTTATTCCGATCACAAACTATCAAATTAGAGTTTTCTTCTACCCTCTGGACTCATGTTGAGGTCTCCCGGTATTTTATTTGAAATCAGCAAAGATAGACATATTTTTTATGCTAATTGCGAATCACAAGTGAATTATATCTTATGGTTAAAATGTCACTTTATCCAGAGAATAGCAATAAGAGCTTTTTCGTAATGCTTTGCTGTTTGTTGGAAATCAGTTGGAAATCCAGGGACAACTTTTCTGGATTTTTATTAATTTTAATTGAGAACAAGTAATAAAATTCATGAATTTGAAAAGTAATCAATCAATGTATAGGAAAATATGTACATAGATTAAATAATACAACAAAAATTCATAACAGTAATACAGGGAACCAGGCTTGACTTTAAGCAGCTACAGGGTTAAGATGTGAGGGAGTCGCCGCTACTTCATTAGTACATGAGCACAATTAGTTTTTATATCTTAGGAAGTGGTCAGTAACAACTTCCTGACCCAAAAATAAATTGTTAGAGGAAGTGGGTTTGCAGCGTTATTTAATGAGGTATTTGGCTCAAAGTACCACTGCCAAATGATTCAGGACTCTTCCCCAAATCAAATGTAGTAGGAATCAACTAGACTGGGCTAAAAGGTTTATGTTCAAGGACAAGAATCTATTCAAGTGACACGGGGAAGTTTCTGTCCCCCGTTTTCTTGGAAAGATTATGAATCTGAGAAGGTGCTCTGGGAGAAATTTATCAACCAAATAATAGTATTGTAAGAGTAAGACGTAATGGCGACTCGTTCACATCAGCTTATAACGCTTCATTTTCTTCGTGACATGTGGGAAACAAACGCATCGTTAAAATCAAAACCAAACTCAAAACATGTTGTATGAGGACGTGTGGAGTACGACTAGAAAACTTTTACAGAATAAAATTTTCTTATAAGAATAATAATTAATAAGATCTCACAGCAGTTTATATCATACGTGTATCAAAATGTGTTAGTGTGATTAAGGTTAGTGTACTATGAATGAAAGGGAAAACTCCCAAGATGAAACGTCATCTTCTTCAATACGAATATCGTTCATTTGATATTATCGTGAAACTTAATTCAACTTAACATAGTTTAGAGTAAGCTTAATATATTACATTTCTCTTAAAAACTCACATATTATATCTATCTGTTCAAAACAACCGGCAGTAATTGGGCATCATAGACACGCACGTGCTGCGCGACGACATGGGACACCGCGCACACGAACTGCGAACATGTGTCGTGTAAAAAAGTAAAAATCGTATATACGTTATGTGTAAAAAAATTAGAAAAAAGCATGTGACTATCGATCTTTGTCTGTGGATCATATCTGTTCATAAATAAAGCTTGGACCTAGCATCATTATCATTATACGATCACGTATGAGATTAAATTATATATCATTCATCTCCGGGGTAACTTAAAACATTGTCAAACAAACATTTCAAAGCAAACAACAAATAGATGCCTTTCATAATAAAGGCTGCAAATATCGGGTTAACGAAACACATCATTTCCCAAAACCAAATCCGGGCTGACTAAAGTTCAAATATACTCCCTATTTTAGAGCAAAGGACGAATAAGTAAGCGTGTGTGAGCGAACAAACTTCATAGAAAATTATCTTAAATCAAATAATTTGTAATTAAAATCACATTCGTCTTGAAAACCGAAAATATCATAAATTATTCTTCTGGCTCCATGTATATTGCTCGGTTAAAACGTTAACCTAAAATCCAATTTATGGAAAGCAGCAGCTAACGCGAAGAATCACTTAAAACTCGGTCATTTTCTCGTTAAAACCATTCGTTTTCAATCAAGTCCTTATCTTTAAACAGTTTACACGAGATTTAAGATGGTGCGAGCGAACAGATTCTTCTCGAAACGAAGCCTTGTCATTAGCTTACGACTATAAGAGTAAACTATCATCTAACAAATAAGTCAATTTTGAAGATACACATTTTACTACGTAGTTAATAACTGATTGATAAGAAATAATGTTATCTTGTATCTAAGGTGCCTGAAGTTGGTGGCAAACAACAGTTTAATCTGTATCATCAAAGTCTGTAATAACCTTCTCAACGGCCCACAGCTGAACTAATTGATAAAATTAATTAACTCAATTCAATTAATTAATTCATCAACTAATTTACCCAATGAAAGGTAGCCGGGCTTATGCGTTCTGATAAGTCTTTTGTTCCATCAACTTAAACAAAAAATAATAAATTAGGGGAATTATTTAAAGAAGGACGGTCGCCTCTACCGCTGTGAGTCGGGTGACTTCCTCCACACCCTATTCATGGTAGTCCAATCGATACTGAGATTATTATAGGTCAGCCAGTTGGCGTCGAAGCCGATGCTCTCGAGAACATCTTGAGTGTCTGAGCACACGAGAGTCAGTTTGAAGTCCCCAACAGGGATATTGAGTCTGCACGAAGCGAAGGTGGCGTCTCCGTCGCCGCACTTTATCTCCAGTCTGTCGTCCACGTAGAGAGAAGTCTGATCGCTGCCTGCTATCTGTACGTCTATGGATCTCTCCTCGTCAGAATGGGAGCTCAGATAAAAGGTGATGGCGTAGGTTGTGCCGCTAGCCAGGTCGTTAGCTTTGATGTGCTGACCGAAGAGCACTCCGCCCGCCTCCGTCATGATCATCAAACCAGAATGACCGAACTTGACGCTGGAGTTGTACCTCACTCCGTACTTGTTGTTGTAGAACTCAAAGAGAGCAGGGTAGGTTCCCTTCAGTGAGTACTTCTTGAGGTCTTCAATCTCATCTCTGAGTGATTTGATGTCCTGCAGCATGCTCCTCAGATCGAGCCCTTCTGCAGCCAACTTGGCGAGCAAATCTTGAGCGGTGTCTGGGCTTCCTGGGTTACCGGGTTCACCCTGGGGGAGATGGAGAGTTAATAACATGTCACTCTCTGATATATATTGTTACAACACGGCTCTAACAACACAACAATGGTTAATTAATTATGTGAAAACAGAACTGACGTTAGCATACAAGATGACACATCACACGCGTATACGACACATGGCTCGACTAGCCAACAGGTTGCAGTTCGTAAAGACTATAAATAGACTCAGGTTATTGGGGAGTTTTAACGGAGGAATGTTCCGTCTAATTTTATTAATTCTTATCTGAATTGAACCGTGGGACCTTACTCTGGCCTTGTTATGGGCGATTCTCGGTGTGAGAGGGAGAGTTCTGGAATATTTAGGGACACGGCCCCGGGAAGTGAATATTTTATTATGGGTCGCAAAATATGGCCAGTGATTTATCTGGAATGGTGTTCAATTTCAAATGAATGACTTGGCATTTTTCTAATAACGTAAGAAGAACTTAAACATGCTATGCAAATCGCAGTGTCAACTGAAGTTAGATGACTTAATCAATAAGCTTAAGTTCGTGGGAATTAAAATTCAGTGACGACAAAATGAGATAGAATTACAGGACCTTTTTACTAGTTTTAAAACCATGTGAATTTCTTTCCCAAGGAAAATGCCTGACGATTCATATTTGTGGGGTCAGCCTCTTAGATTAATGGCATTAAATGCAGAGCAAGTCCAGCTAATTAAGCTGTAGGAAGGGTTAAGCAGCTAGAAAGTAAGAAGACAGGTCACGTGACAAATGAAAAGGTCATGTGGTTTTCATGACAACAATCCAAAAGCCGCAACTTCCCCTTTTAGTACAGCTCTGAACCAATAGGAAGCGTCGAGAATTAACTTTAATTAAAGGTACTTTATCCAATCGATAATTGGGCCTTGTTAATAGCTGTGGATTATGAGGATTACTGTTAACAATCGCTTCCTACCCATTGACACAGGACATTCCCTACAGACTGCCACGTGACATAATCAGGGGCTCTCATTGGCCCATTTTGCATCACGTGACGTGATTCCGTACGGTGATTGGCCGGGCTGAACAGACACCTTCCAAGACATCCCTGTCAGTATTATAGCGGCCCCAGGATTTCAAACAATGCACCAAAACAATGGGACCTGGAACTCGACAAATACACCCTCTACATTTCCTCTACATGAGATCCCCTGTTTCTATGTTTGAGTAGAGTGCAGTACTAGGGCACAGTACTAGGGAGTCAGGACGATTAACCTAGATCACTCTAGATCACCGTGTAAACAACCCTGAGGCTACTGGAGAAGACTGGCTCTGGTTTAAACTTTAAACTACCTTGATTGCATACAAACGTTTAAACGGGCTCGTACGCAGATTGCCCCCAAGATTACTAGCTGTAGTAATCAATGTGTTTAACAGGTTAGTGGTTGCTCCACCACCTGCCTCAGGGAAACCAACACAGTGAGCTGATATCAGGGGACACCCACGTGATCTGTGTGTGGTTATATTCTCCACTTTTCAAGTACAGATGACCACGTCACGAGTATTTGTTAACGGTAAAACACAGAGCTACTTCTTTTGTAGTGCCAGCTTGAACTTGAGACAAAGAGTAAATTGAAACAGTGGCACGCGACACAGAACTCTTTAAAACAACAACAGTAACAGACCAATTAGCAATACAAAGACGACACTCAATATACGAATCAGTAGGAATTTGCTTGTTAGGCAGTTAAAATGCTTACCTTGGGTCCAGTTGATCCGCGAGGCCCTTGAATTCCAGGAGGTCCGGGGTTAGCCTGAAAATAATGTTGGTTAGTGATCATTGACTAATGTTATACTACGATATTGATATAGAATACGGGGGTAATCCCAAAATTTAAGGGATTGTGACGATCTCCTTTGGAAGCTCCGAATGTCACGTACTCTGGTACGTGGTGTATCATACTTTCTATTTTTGTGTAAGAGGTACTAAAGCTAGAGTAGGTAATTTGAATGTTGGTACATTGAGCACCGTTTAAATTAAAGCTGAACTCTAACTTCTAGCTTATTATTTGAGCTCTCAATTCTCATCAGCTGATCTATTATCTTATTAGATATCACGGCCGCCACTTATTAAAAAGAAGCTCCTAACTTAAATCCTGGGCTCATATCACGAACATTACTATTGACTGATGGGCCCCATTACCTAAACACCTCTAAACGTTTGTTGTAAAGTTTTAACAGACCCAATCTTAATCTCTGAGTGTTATTGAGGGTAACACACACACCATCGTAAAACATGCGCTAATCACACCCTCTACAGCTATAACGTCCTCTAAACGTCACTCTCAGTTAATTATTAATTAATAAACACGGGGGGAGAGAAGGACCCTGAGGCTGAGGGTAAGGGTAGAGGGTGTTAGGGCAGCTGCTGGAATGTGAAATACACCTCAAGTCAGCCACTGCCTTGGCACCAATGTGTGTGTGCGTGTTTAGAGGGGCTCACATTAAGGATTAGTGAGTTTAGTATAGAGGGCACACATTATGTGGATTAGTATGTTCTAGATACCTAGTACATAAAATAGTAGAATTGTTTGCGGAGGTAGGCTAGCTCTCTTATGGAGGCGAATTGTGAGTAGTCCGAAAATAGCAATGAAATTGGTGGTGATGATGTGATGAATGGAGCAAATTATTGTTTAATCGAGAATCGGCAGACTCAATCAGCGATAAGATGGAGTGATAATAGGACCAATTGGAAGATACAGGGATCAATTCTAGGTCAATCTTACAATGATGGTTCGGTGGGAATTATTGGATCTCATTGTCACTTTGTGTCGAAATTCCAATCTCTACCGAATTAGATCGCAGTGAATTATCAGCTCTATTAATTGTCCGAATGTCCCATGTCATGAGGGACAGACTGTCAGGAAGCACCTATTCAATTTCTGACAATGGGAGCTCTCTATCACAACCCATCTCTCAGCTGCTGACAACGGTTTCTCCCTCTACACCCCTTTTATTAGTGGTGTATTTTTAGGAAAATCTGGCGGTAATTTTCTCGGCAAGAATCGTACCAAAACCCCCGCAAGCTGCATCTCCAGCATTTCAAGCTGAGACCCAATCAGCGATGAGAATGAGGGCCAGGTGACAGTTACCATGGTAACGTGATTATGTCACGTGGTAGGGTGTCTGAAGAGGTGCAAAAGAGAACTTCCTGTCAAATGATAGCATTTCCTTATCGAGCGTGGGTGTAAAATTATCGGCTAAATTACAGCTTCTCCATGTAGTGTAAATATAGTGTAAATGTCAAATCTGCTGTAATATTTCATGGATATTATCAGTTTGAAGAAATAATAAGATATTTCAGTGGCATGGATAAGTTTTAATTTTTATTGGCTACTACGAGATCCTATTGATGAGATCCAGTACAATGGACAAGGAAATCAGAGTCTAGTATCCTCAAGAATGCCCTTTGTGTTTTCAATAACATGAATTATATTTGGAAGAAGCATGTACTTTATTTATGGAATCTATGTAACACAGCACACGATATTTTCGATAGCACTATCTCGACAAGCAGACTGTTTTAAAGTACTTGAAAATGGTGCTAGTTGCTTAACAATGCAGCCACATTACCACACCAGGCGTGCAATGAGAGAGCAGCCCTCATTTAACAATAACAAAGTGAAGTAGAGAGGGATGGGCAGGACACGTGATAAGAGACTCAGCGCAGGACTCTCACCGCACCGCACTCCGAGTCATCATCATGACCAAAGAGTGGGCCGTGCGGGGAGGAATGGAGGATTCCTGTGACCACTGCTGAGGGACCCTGCTTATGTTTAGGGCGATGTAAGGTCATACTTATCATGGTCATAACAAGATAACTTGTAATTCATAGAGGATTTGTACAGGATTTACCAATGAACATTGACAGAATCTCCTGGATTGAAAGACACTTTACTGAATTGCAGTGCAGTCAGAACTGACATTCTGAGCAGTAAATCATTGGCCAATAATCTTATTGCACGTAGTTTTCACGAACTTCTAACATTTGTGGACCCCTGCTGAGAGGAATATCGAATGAAAGTGGGTTGCAGGGTTGGTTGCAAACTGCACGTGCACATTCCAATGATACACGTGCACATTCCGCAGTCCCACGTGCAGTTCATTCTTTGTGGTTTGGCACTCATTCAAATGGAAAATCCTCGGTGATCTGCGGATTTGGCTGCATTTGTGAAGATTAATAAGAGTGAAATGCGAGATTAATTTGAAGTAAGAGATGGTGAGGTTACCACATCGTACTATTTGACACACAATATAATAGGCGGGCCATTAATCTGCCAGGTGCGTCTCTAAAACCATAACATCATCAAATAGCATGCTGTATGTTTAATTTCCAGGGTTTCACCTCTACCCTCCCCCACTAATATACTCGTGCCAACATCTCCCTCTCATAATTGGTTATCTAATATCTCGTGATGCAAATACTCAGCTCTGATTGGTCAAGCAGTTATGGAGCTTCCAAAGGGGCTCGAATTCAGTGAGGGCACTTTGGCTCAGAAATCGGGGTAGTTTATATTTTATTATGGAGCAGGGCGTGTAGGGGCAGATAGTGTATATCAAAACAATTGCAGAAATAGTGAAATACGATATATCAGATGTAATAAAAAATAACTTTGATAAAATGGTAGCTCAACTCACTTGATTGTTACTGTTCTGAGTGTTCTGAAAGAGTAATATCGGTTAGCGATAATGGTAATATATACAGTAATGATTATCATTGGTATGTGATAAAGCATGTAAAAAGAAGAGGTGAATGTTGGCAGGTGCATGAGCCTTATCTTTATCGGTCATAAAGTGGACGTCACGTGATTAAATGACGAACTGTAATTGGCTGAAAAGTGGTCACGTGACAGGCTGTGGAGCACTGAATGGGTCTTGAGTTTACTGAGTAATGGGGGTAGGGTGTCGTTTTAAATGGCAATTATAAAACTGAATACCGGTACACTATGTCATATGTCCCCTAGTAGTTCTCTAAGTAAGAGTATAGTGCAGCTGATGATGGTGCTCAATAGAGACCTCCTACACACTCCTACTTGTAACTCAGTAACATTTACAACCACTATAGGGGGCCAACTTGTACCACCAGTTAATTTGTAAAACTTGACTAGCTCCCATTGAGCTCTCTGATTGGCCCTAAACCATCACGTGATCGGAATACAACGCTGTCATTGGCCAGTGTTTGTGACTGCAGGTCGAAGTGTGCGAGCAGTCTAGACTTGACAGATAGAAGGTAGAGTACGATCCCAGTACGTCATGAGTTGTTGGCAGGGGGCCAGCGCACGTGCCAATAGTGCGGCTCTAATAATGTGTATGTAGGTATCATGACTACTACATTTCTACAGTGCAGGTTCTACCTCTCAATTAAGGTATACCTCCTCCTCTACCATCCCCACTCTGATCATAAACTGCTCATAATTTGCACAGAGATTAATCATCATCGTCATTCAAAAACTTCCCATAAAGAAAATTTTAATGACTGTGAGAACACATAAAGAGATTAAGATTATTCAGAAGGGCGGTTTAATGAAAGGTTACCAGGATTGGAGGCCCCGAAAACTCACCCTAGGTGGAGCCTGGGTATTTAGACGGTGTGAACCTGTGAAGTAATGTGCGGTGAAAACACCCATCAATTTCGGGAAGTTCATGCTAACTAAGGTGCTGATAATTGGACCCCAGGAAACTAAATCCCTCTAAGCCTGATGGTTGAAATGGTTTAAATCACCAAGTTCTACCAGTACCCTATACTCTCTACCATGTACACGACTACACATGTAGACAAACTGATGTGTGTAGGAAACTTTCTATTGTATACAAAGAATACACATGAGTTCCCTGATGTGCTCCAGATTTGCATCACCCCTGCTACAATTAGTTAGCAGAGAAGATAAAGTTAACCACTACACAATAGCCAAGTCTACCTCATTAGGTCCTGACACAGCCTCTAAACTTGGAGCCTTGCCAGCTCTCCTCTAGTTTGCAGCTAGCACAGTGGATTTACAGTTTGCTAACGTGGATTACATGAACGTTTAGATTGTTAGCTGAAGCCGGCGGTCTTCTGCCCGGGCTGGAAATGAAAATCACCGGAAAAATATCACGGAAATAATAATATGGAGGTTAATATTTCGTGAAATTTAATGATCTTTATCCCAGGCTTCGCTAACAAGTACCAAGCTCGGCGAGGTATTTTCGCACCCGAAACATGACAACCCTGATTAAATGCGGGTTTAAGAGTCCTGGGAGTTCGGCAAAGTGACCTTAACCACACTTCATACTTGCTAACTTGACTTTCGGCAGCGACACTGGGATTCTACACCGGTGGGAAAATGTTAACCCGACGCCAAATGTTGGTGAGGTTCCTACTTACTGAGACAGCCGGCTAATCCGACTTAATGAAAATTTCAGGGTAAACTTGTGAGTTCGCCGTGGGAAGGGTGAAAATATTAACAGTAGTACCGACTTGTAAACCACAGATCATGGCAATTAGTTTCATAAGCAGCGCTTGATGAGCCAATAATTGCAAAAATATGAGAGTTTTGGTGCTCTTAATTCGGAGGTTACAGAATCACACGGAGGCAGATTGGGTGTCATGAAATGGTTCGGAGATGGTAACATGATGTCTCGCTGTCGAGTAGGGAGGTCTACATCTCGCACTTCCTGCCCGACTATTTGGTCTGCGGCCAGGTAACAAGACATGGCTGTTGCCAATGCTCACACTTGATTGCATAATAACACAACACAGCCCTGCTTTCGCCTATTAACGAGTTTTAAATTGTGAGAATTTCGGAATCTGCAGGCAAATAATTGTGGGAAATATCGGTTCGGCCGTGCTGCTTTGCTTATCGATTGCAGAAAATTTGCAGAACCGTGGCGACGGCAGGCAGTGGCCTGAGAAAGCTCCATATCATGGGAATGAAAGTGCGGTTATCCTATCAGACCATGACTACCTTACACCTTGTAAATCCACTCACACCTGCTAAACCAGCTGGGAGAATACGGCGGACCCATCATCACTACTCAGCACTGAATATAGTGCTGTTATCGTTAAACTTACCTGTAGCTACGGTTACCCGCAATAGATTCTAGATCAATTATTAGACGGCATTATTATTCGTCATTATGCACATATTTGTAGCTCGTGCTTGTTATATTTAGAAGTGGAGGGCCGGTGATGCGAAGCGAACAGTTACCCACGTTTACCCCAACTTGCATTCTAAACTACACGTTCACTCAACTCCGATACTCCTATTGGATTGCCCTCAGACAAATAACGTCTTCTCATTGGCTGGACCAGTGCACGTGCCTCTTGTTATGATTTAGATAAGCGTGCTGAATACCATGGTATGCACGACAATAACTTAGCGGCGGTCTCTCCGCAGTGCAATATGTTTTATAACCGGTGAGCAGTACTAATTATCGTTTTCAATGGTGGTCCCGCTCTTAACACGTGCACGGGTAGTCCGTTTCTAAAAAGTATAAATATTGTGAAGTAGGATGAGAGGAGCGATACTAGAGAAAACATTACTGTGTGTCTCGTCCGGTGTAACGATGGTTGTGACAAGCTAAGTAGCATTGGATAACACCGTATTAGCGTGCACCGGAGGGCGGTGAGGTCCGTGTTAGTGAATGTAGTGCTGGTGAGAGAGGTGATTTAACACGTCAAGTTGAGGAGGACTGTTGAAAAATAACATGTGATCGTGTGATCAGAGGGATGAGGTACGTGAGTGGAGCATGACGATCAAGAGGAACGAAATAAACAAAGTGATTGACAACAAGAGTGTGATCTAACGACTGAATTGAAAAGCGATGAAATACGCGGAATGGAATTATTTTTAAAATCACAAAATACTTAATCAAATAAACTAGGACGGAATGATTCTTACCTGGTATGGTACGTTAGGGGTCGATGATGGTGGAGCCGATTCTGACGTATCCTCCGGGGCCGGGAGAGAGGGTAATGTTTCTGTTTCGGTCTGTCTCGATTATGAAGTTGTCGTTCTCCGTCCGGATGGTAGGTCTCCGCTGTACAATGTTATCTCGTTCGTCTCTGTATCCGTTTACTGTGTACCTGATGGTTGAATTCTCGGTTAGTTTGAGTCGAACAGAATGCAGAGAAAATGTGATGGAAATATTGAAGAAATTTGTCATGAGCTGATAATATCATTATGACGGAAGTAAAAACAAAATATTAAAATATTTGTATTATCAAAATAAAAGGTACTTACACAAGGTTGTCTGATAGGCAGGAAATAATGAGGTAGGAGTAGAATAGACCTAGCACTGTTTGATGAACCATTATCTGAATCTGTCGAGCTTATATAATCACTTGTTTAGCATTTGTCTTGAACTAGGGTGAAGTTAGTCATTAGCATTCAGTTATCAATATTCAACGAAATATAATAATCGTGAAGTACTAATATAATAAAAGAAATACAATAATCACGAGCTAACTCTTGCAAACAGTAACAGTATCCTACAAAACGGGGGGAAAACAAAACGAAGGCTCATTTTAAAGAACAAGGGTAGATGAAGCGTGCAGGTAAGGCAGGAATGAGGGTCCGAACGGGCACCCGACTTTAGCCCTACGGGGCTGTCTCCCGACCCACGGAGTACCTAAATCTAATTCCTGGAGAAGTGCCAGGAATTAATATCAGATCAGATTACGGTCGGTAATTGCAACGCTACACGTGACAGAGATGTTTATTAAGTACTGTTACAGCTCCTGCACACCATATCTGCTCCAATAATGTCGGATGAAGAGTAGTGCTCCTTCATAAGAGTAATGGTAATGGATGTGCACTGCCACGGAACAACACCGGCGACTGTAGTACAATTACCGATAGTGAGACCCATGATCAGCAGTGAAGGGCGGCGGAACTACCCCTCCATAACCCTGCTACCCTAGCACAAGGGGACTAATTCTATAATTATATGAACAGTGAACAGTACAAATAAAGCTTGAGGGGGCTTACTTTCGAGCATATGACATGTCGCAAGAGGGGGTTTAGGGCGGGATTAGTTCATAAAGGACTCAAAAGAGGAGGCCACTGAGAAGTGAAAAAAAAAAGAACAAAGACCTCCTCACCAGTTCAATTGTATCTAATGTAGAAGATAAAGAAGACGCGGAAAGAGCAGTTACCTTAGCAACAAAACGCGGTGGCGTGTCGAACAATGGTATTATAATATTTGGTTAATGCAACGCAGGCTACATCACCTCAGCTTCATAGATACTGGGATGATTGTGTTTTTAATTGAATCACTAGTGTTAATAATAGGGTGGTGGAACGACCTTCAAGATAACGGGTCATCCTACAACCCGAGAAACCAAGTATTGTTTACAGTTTAGTGTGGAGACTTTTAACCGGTTGAAAGCCAACGTCTAAAAAGTCTCAGCAAGTTTGGAAGCAAAACAGGAAAAAACGCCGTCTCCAGTCCTTCAAACAAGTAGCAAAAAAGTCAGTAAAAGTTGCAGCAGAACAGCAGCAGTAACGTGTCTACAACTCAATCAGCTGTATCCGAAGTACAGTGAATACTGGTAATTATTACACAGTGGTGAGGGCCCAGACTAGGCAGGGGGTCTATCTACCTGCTGTGTAAAATTAGCGCCTAATCGTGCTAGAATTGCCCTTAAGTGTATACACCCTGCTTAGTTTTAAGTGGGGTTGGCTGCACCCTCCCTTTCAACAAGAACGGTTCTTGCTTTAAGTGGTGCCCGGCTTTTTGGCAGCGGTCCTGATAACAAGCAGCAATCAAATGGTTAAAATAGTTAAAATGGCAACCTCTCTGAGAGGAAACACAAAGAGACAAGGAATCGCGGTTAACAAGCTCAACTTCAAGCAGCCAGAACTAATGTCGCAAGATCGAAAGGGAGAAATGAGGCCTGAAGGGTTGGTAATCTGATAAGCGAGAAGGAGGAAACGTGGTCCGACGCTCCTTCTTCCCATCATTAGATTATATCTGGATACGGCACGCGCAGTATACAAATCAAGAGTACTGATTACACACGCACGTGCAGAAGGCGAAACGAAACTAATGAGGATTTGAATGTGACCAGGTTATATAGGAGTGATCCCAGCATACTTGATAGATCACATGTCAACTCTCATAACTACGTAGGTGTGATCGCTTTTCATTGGTTACCACGAAATGAGGTGATACGATAACGTCACACTATTCGCTAACAGGGATCACGTGAACAGTGACGCAACGAAAAGAGCAGCTCACTGGACAACACGAGATCTGCAGATACGGGGGCAGGGATGATCCGAGACCTGGTCCGGAATGCATGGTAATATGTGAGGTATTGAGGCACTTATCATGCTGGACACATTCCATGTCAAGTACGGGGACATACCAAGTACTTGATATGCACCTTAAACCACCTGATAATGAAATGATAACACTAAACGTGCTGAAATGCCCACGTGCATGGTAAATTCACCAGGTTCTCATTATGATACTTATCCCGCACGCTCTTAAAAATAATCAGAATAATGGGTTTATGAGAAAATACAATTGGGTGCATCCAAAATGCGTTGGAACAGATAATATTGGATCAAACGAAAATATTATCGCTGGAGGCGCACAAGATATTGATTTAACCCGTTTACTATTTATACCCGACGCCGATGAAAGGACGTCAAAAGTTAAATAGCAAGCGAAGAGGAAATAGTGACATTTTTAAGATCAAAGGCATTGTCAAAGAAAAAAGTTTGAAATGTTAACAAGCGGGCGAGAAAGTGACAGTTACCACCAATAATTCATAAGTGAGCTGATCGATCCTTGAACTTGCGACAAATAAGCCTGTGCGATCACTCTTCACAAGGAACGTCAGTGTTGAGTACCATGGTTGGGGGCACAACGTATTTAGGACCGGAGGTAGGTCACTGTTTATCCAGAATTAGCGAGACAGCAGGCAGCTCACTCGCCTCCCACGTGACACAGTTGCAGGAGGAACAGTTGAAACCTTACAACATGAGGCAACAAGTCAGCGTGGACCAGCAGAATCACCAATAACAAGCACTTTTCCCACACCTACCTAGACCAGCTCGAGTTAGCTGACAAACTCTCTCTCTCTCTCTCTGTAAGCGGCTAGCTATTAACTATTAACTACCTTGCAGCTGATTAATCTATATACCCGACCATTATACTAATATTCACGTCAAGAATCTGCAGGGAGTGAGAGTCGCAGAGTGAGCCGAGAGAGATAAGTCAGGCCTGTTGACATGGTAGCCCTGGGAAAAAACTTATTTATCCGACAACCTGAACAGTTGTGCGGTATGCCAAGACGGAATTCTGACCATGAGAAACACAGCCCTGGGTTACGTCAGTGGCTGCTCAAATGTAACGAAACAAGAAAATATAATCACTTCTGACATACGAGACTAAGACATCGGGGTATGGCGAAGATAAGACGGCAATTTTTAGACCTGAGCAAATACACCGAACAACGACTCAGAAAGCTACGTTGATCGTGAGTATGTGACTGTGTCCAAATCAGGATGCGGTAAAGTTGGTGAAAATGGGCCAGATTTGACGAAACTGTGAGACCACACAAAACGTGACCTGCACAAATAAATAATAATAACCATAACTTCCTGGACTAAGCTCTCCATCTTTAAGGGGGAGAGAAATGGGGATAGCAGCGATTTAAACGACCTAAAAAGGGGGACAAATTTACAGATTACGGACGACGAACTTGTAACCGAAAGGGTTGACATTGGGAGCAATGGAGCAAGAGAAAAGGGATATGCGCTAAAGGAGCCAACTAATCTGAAGTGTCTGTCAACAAGTTATAAAATATTCATCGTCCGTGCATATCCCAGACTACGAAAATAATTTCATTTTTACTGTCGCGCCCATGGACTAAAATAAAACAGTTGGCTCAACATTTAGGTGTGCGATACCAGAATAGAAAAGAAATCAATTATCCTTGATAAGGTGCTCTATTCGGATAAAAGAAGTTGGTGCTACCGACATAAAATATGAGTGCTCGCCCCGAATATAACGGGAGTATATCTATCAACACATGGGCGACAACTACTCAGCAAAATCTTGAATTATCTCCCCTTCGTTACAAGTGTTAGTTAATAGGTGACCAGGAAGTTAATTTAGACGTTTCAAACCGCTAATTAAGCACAAATCAGACCGCAAGATCCAAAGTTTAAGAGATTTCCAGCGGTTGAGGTTTATGAAGATTCGTAGAAAAATATTAAATACTAAAAGGAGCTGGGGAGGACCACTGGAAGGAATAACTCAATAAGCTATCAGTATCCTCAACTATAATTAGAATCGAACCTAAACATCAATAAATACAAGGAAATTATCTTATCTATCTTTCAGCTCGTCTCTCTACCACAGCTCTAAGTAGACTAGAGAGATGGAAATGAGAATCAAGAATTAAGCTGGGTAGGCTACCTATATACGCATCAATTCTTGGCTGGTTAGATCGTTAACTCTGATGCGGGGTCTTTAGTGACGTTAGTCGGTAGTGGAAGCGTGTGCTGTGGTACACGCTCCCCGGTGCTGTGTCACTTCCGCACTTCCCTACACAACTCATAGTTAGGAAGGGGTATAAACTGCCCATTAAAAACATTTCTCAAAATATAAACTATTAGCTGATAGCATATAGAATGTAGCGTTTAGCATCGTCACTTGTAAAGTCATATTCGATCGTTTGACGACCAATCAAACTTTAGTTGGCGGTTTCTGTTGGGTAAGATTAATATGATATTTAAAGTAATCTTGATCAACTTTTCATATCAGAGTTAGATGAGAGGTAAATTAAAGGCACATAAACATGCCTTCTCGTGATTTTCTCGTGTGAAAGAAAGGCTCAGCTGAGTTTAACCGTTGACTGACGTAAAAGGTCAACAGGGAAACCTGCCACACTTCTCATTATAGGGCTCAAGTTCGACAGCGTCCGAAGTTTAGAAATTAGTTTAGAATTTCTCACAACGTTAATAATTTAAGGTTGCTTCCAGTATAAACTGAAAGCTTTCCTCATCATGTCGGCCGTCGTGTAAATTCTTGATGTTCCCATAATAAATTGACAGTAGCCGATATTCAGGTTCGTTCTTCATATGGTACCTTGATTACTGCGGATGTACGGTATCCTTCTAATACTCCTATTGAAGGTAAGATCTGTGAGGTTATCTGACAAACATGTTCAATACTGATAACGAAACTTATGAGTTGTCGATTCTTGTGGGAAACCATTTCAAACTACGTTCAGAATGTCCATTACGCAATTATTTGAGGAAGCCATCCTGAGGTTAGTCGACAATTGTAATCATATGGCATAAATTAATTGGTTTTTGACAAATTTCGGGAAGGTAATTGACCTGTAC